TGTGGCGTTCGCAGGCGCTACGTTGACAGGCGCTTTGGTGTTCACAAGCGCTGTGGTGTTCACAGACGCTGCGCTCGTCAAAAGCATTGTGCCGTTTACGGGCACGTCGCGTTGATCGGACCGCAAACTATTGTAGCGCTTGACATAGGCGCGTCGTGGCTGTCGGGTCGCAAGCGTTTTTTTCGCTGGCGTACTACAGGTGGTGTGCACGCTGACAGCTGTATACACAGGCGCTGTTGTGCACCCGTGCGTTGCGACGTACGCTGACGATGTTGTGCACGCGTAGGTTGCTGCATCAGCATGCGTGGTGTTCGTGGGCATTGCGGCGCTGTGTAGCACCCGCAGCTGCTAGGCCCTGTCGTTGCATGAGTGCTATGACCAATAGCAACAAAGGGCAGTCCTTCCAGCACAATCAGCATTCGAGCGGCCAGGCGCGACTGCGTTGTGCGCGCGGAACGTGCTGCTGTGGGCGCAGCAAAGGGTGTGAAAAAACTTTGTGGTATGGCGCGTTTACAATCGTATACGCAGTTTCTGTGGTTTACGTGATCACTGCCATGCGCCATGCACTGTGGTGTACACGCGCGATGTGGTGCGCGCATAGGCTGCTGCATCAGAATGTGTGCATACAGCCATTCGAGCGGCCGGGCGCGGCTGTGTTATGTTATGTGCCAGCGACCCCACCCACCCACCCAGCCACATAACGCGCGTGATGTGGAATAATAAAAATTTGAGCTCCTTGAGGGGGCCCGCGTCGCCAGTTGTTCGATTCGCCGCTCGCGACCCTGTTCATAGTGTCCCCCCAGGAGAGATCCGCGGAGTGGCGGTATCGGCACCCATCGTTCGTGGGTGTTCTGGGGTACCTCAGGCTCAAATTTGCCCGATGCGTTCTCCCACTTCGTGCTTCTACTCTGTGCACCACCCCGTTTCAGCCGGGCCCCATTTCTGGTCAACCATACAGATGGGATCCGAGTAGATGGGGTCGGAGGATCCCGCCGCATCGCCGATGCATCGGCGATGCGGCTCGATGTGGAGCCAAATTAGCGACGCAAGAGAAAGGGGGTCGTCTGCGCCGACATTGGTGCGCAAGCTGCTCGCGTAAGGTCGCGCGTAAGCGCCCGCGTCTCCAATGTGGCGTGCCGCGCTGGCGGCCCGCGTAAGCTGCGGCGTAAGGTCGCTGCGTCATCTCGCGTAAGACCTGCTTTTGATCGTTGCTCAGGTGTTCTCCACGCCTGCTTCGCCGACGCACCGCCGACGTCGCCTCGCCGGTGCATCGTCGACGCATCCCCGATGCATCTTCGATGCATAGGTGATGTGGCGCGACCCTCCGACCCCATTGACTCGAACCCGATTTGGGCGGTCTCTAGTGGTGGCAGCGAAGTTGTCAGTGCAGTAGTTTCCGGGAAGTTTGTAAGTCGTGAGTCCAGTCGTGAAGCCGTCGTTTGAAGCCTCACCAGAAATGATTTGGCCAACGCATCATGATAACATTCGCCAGACATGGCACGGAGAAATCCAGCAACATTTTCACTAGAGAATCCAGCGAACATTTCACTGGAGATGCCGATGGGACCTCATGGTGGGGCGGTTTGGGGTCTCGATTCGCACAGCGTCTGGCTGCTCGGCGCGCAGCTGTGTTAATTAGAGTCCCCTGTCCACGGCCATGCGACCAGCTCGCGCTGACATTTGGCTAGTTGCGTTGCTCCGCGTGTGGGCTCCTTGCTAGCAAGGGCGTGCGACAGAAGGTCATCCGGCTGCGCAGGAGCAGCCGAGCAAGTCAGGTCAAATCCCCAAATTGCAGTGAGCAACAAGGATCGTTCTCCACGGGAAGAGCGCAACCCTCCATCACCTCCATTGCAGAGGCCCTTGGAGCCGTGACATGCGGCACATGACAGGCGTCTGCCAGGTCCCAGACGGAGTTGGCTCGGATAGTGCCGTTCCAGCAGTGGAGGCAAGGTTGTAACATGCAGCGCTTGATGCCCCCACGGTGTGGATGGCCGTGTCTTCCGACCGACACCGTTCCCCCCCCCGCCCGCGTGGTTGCCTCGCTAATGCAGTGGGGGTCAATGTCAAGAAACACTCTGCTTGCCTCCTGGGTTTTGATGATTTTGCTATGGAGCGCGTGACGTTCCCGCACCAAAAAATCCATGGACGTCCTGGGGTCTCAGGGTGGGGTTTCTTGTGGGAGGTTCCTTGTGGACGGGTCCCTACTATAGTACCAGCGCCGCGCAGCCGCGCAGCCGCCGCGCCCGCGCCCCAGCGGCGCAAGCCGCAGGCCACTGCGGGGATGCAGCGACCCCGCTGTCGTCTCGGCGGAGTCGCCTCAGAAGTCTTGTCGCGCTTCGCGCCTCGCGCGGCACGAAGGCACGAGATCATCCGAGCACCCGGGGCGCAGCTCGGCGGGAGTTCGCCCCCGTGGGGGCTCTCTGGGCCCCCCCCCGCGCTGCCTCGGCGGGGCCGCGCTGCGGCAGGCGTTCCGCGCGGCGGCGACACCAGCGCGGGCAGGCAGGGTTGCAAGGCGAGCGGGTGGTAGTGAGGGGTGACCCAGACGGGGGGTAGAGAAAAGGGCCCTAAAGGGGCCCTTCAGGGCCCTAAAGGAGCCCTTCAGGTCCCCTTATGGGCACCAACTGGCTCCACGAGGGGCCCCAAAGGGCCCCTTCAGTGCCTTTTCCTTTACCTCCCTGGGCCCCCCCCCCCTTGCCACCCGCCCGAGCAAGCCGATGGGTACGCGATGCGCCAGGCTCGAGCCGCCTCGACGCGGCGACAGCTCCAGCGCGGACGCTCCATGTTTGCACAGTCGCCCGGGGCTCCGTCGGGGAACAGGCCGTACGCGTTGTCTTCGCCCTTCCAGGAAGAAGCCCGTTGACTGTTTCGCGTGCCGCGCCTCATTCCGGGAAATTGTTTTTTCCCTCCAGGAGGGCCGTTTGAGCAGCCACGGTTTTAGCAGCCCTCGCCCAGCTTCCCACCCACGGGGTGCACTCTCGGAGGAGCCCCGCCGACCGCTTGGCTGGCCGGCTGGAGCGGCAACGGGGTCGCAGGGCGCCGAGCGGAAGGGCATCGGGCGGAGCAGCACGCCCCGGTGGTCTGGGCACAGCCCGGCAGGTCCCACCCCGCAGACCAGCCTGGGGCCGCCAACTTCGCCGCCGGGGCCTGCAGCCAGCGCTGCCCCATCTAGCCACCCCATCCCACCCCAGCCCACCCCGAAGGCCCCAGGTTTGGGGGAACGAGAAGTAGCAGAAGCATAAAGACTCGGAGGTCCGCGCGGATCTCTCGGATCGGCGCTGGGGCCCCCTCCCTGGCGCGCGGAGCGCGCCAGGGGCGGCGCCGGAGGCGCCGCCGGGGGGCCCCAGCGCGCCGGTTGTTCTCCTAAAGTTGCCCTCCACTCCCAGTGGGGGTGGGGGTGGGGGAACATTGGAAGAAGCACGGATGGAATCCGTACCCCCGCAACCCCGAACTTCGGGTCTTCGGGTCTTCGGGTTGGGTGGGGGTGGTCTGGTAGGTGGTCACCATCGCCATGAACGAGTTTTGGCAGACGAGGACTGGTGGTCCCGTGCTCGATTTTGCATGGCGCGCCCAACTCATCCCCCTGATCTAGGCCTCCCAGAGGGGGTCGGAGTAGATGGGGTCGGAGGATCGCGCCGCACCCAATGCAGTACGGCTCGATGTGGAGCTGATTTTGTCCACGCCTGCGTCGCCGATGCGTCGCCGACGTCGCCGGTGCATCGTCGATGCATTGTCGATGCATCGCCGATGTACCGGCGTTCAGGAGTATCGCATGCAGGCGCTGTCGGAGCCACGGCGGGCATACAAAAAAAATCAGGCGGGCTTGGAGCTGAAGGGCCAGGCTCGACGACCAGGGCAGAGCCCACGATCGACAGGCCTGCACTCCAGGCCTCGGGAGGAGTGCCCTTGGGTAGAGCCGCTTGAGGGGAAACGGAAGCTTTCGCGGAGACCTGCGAGGAATGTGCGGTTTGGCGAACCCGAGCACATGATGCGGCTCTGCGAGATGGTCGTGCTCCTTGGGAGTTGTCCCGTGTGGGCTGTAGATGCATCAGCCAGTCCGACACTAATGCAGGCCAGACGGGTGGCCAGAGCGAAAGCGCGAGAATCCCCGACGAGGCCTTGGGGGGACACCCGCGCGAGGCCCTGGCGATGTCGGCGAGGGCAAGGCAGAAGGGCCGGCGACAGGGTGACGCCCGCGCGGCAGGCAGACCTGCACGAAGGCGAGGAGCACGAGCTGCCTGCAGCTCGGGGCTGTCCGGGAGAAGGTCAGGAGGGGAAAAAATACACAGACACAATTAATCGTCGATCCCCAGGAAAATATATGAAAATATGGGAAGTGGGGGGGAAGACAGAAACCCCGAAAATATGGGAAAATATGGGGAGTATTTTTATTTGTGTGTATTTATTTGTGTGTCCCAGGGCCCCTTCAGAAGGGGCTGACGGCCACGGGAGCGATCAGGGGCAACGATGCGGTCGGGTAGGTTCAGGGGCAACGCGTCGGCCCACAGTCGCCCATCCATTGATCGTCGATGGCGACCTGACAGCTCCATTCCACCCAGGAACGCGCGGATTCGTTATCGGGGGCCTAACGCCGCTATGTCGGCGATGTGTTGCCCATTTCAGGTCGGGCTGGAGGAGGAGGATGAGCAAGACGAGGTTGAGGAGAAGGGCGAGGATGAGGAAGAGGGGGCAAGAGACTAGGAGGAGGAGGGTAATGAGGAGGAGGAGGAAGAGTAGGAGGAGGAGGAGGACGAGAGCCAGGATGAGGTGGAGGATGATGATGCTGATGATGATGATGCTGATGATGATGCTGATGATGATGCTGCTGCTGATGATGATGAGGATGATGATGCTGATGAGGAGGAAGAGGAGGAGGAGGAGGAGGAGGAGGAGGAGGTGGAGGAGGAGGAGGAGGAGGAGAGAGAAGACGGAGAAGCTTGCGAGGAAGCAGTGGTGGGATAACATGGGTTTCCCGTGCCCGTGGCAGCGCCGCGCCCGCCGAGGATCGCGTGCCACTTCGAGTGCTGGTTGTGAGGCGGCGTGCCAGGCGGTGGCCCTGCACACCAACGCACCCGGGTGCAGTTCCCCCCTCTTTTTTTGCCTGCGGCATCCGACACTTCGATGCTCGTTTCGGGGAACTTCCTGGAGCCCACCTAACGGATCTGTTCGACCCCAGTTCGACTCAAGTTCGACTCAGGTTCGACTCAGGTTCGACTCAGGTTCGACTCAGGTTCGACTCAGGGTCGACCCAAATCGACTGACGTTCGACGCTGCTTCGACGCACGAGTGGAGCGAGTGGCTCCAGGAAGGTCCCCAGAACGAGCATCCAACGACACGTGATGACAGAGATCGTCGTGGTCCTCTTTGGTCGTCGATCCTCGTGTTCTAGACCGTTCTGGGGCTCCCCTCGTCTCGGCTGGACCCAGGTCCCCGCTTCTGCCTGCGGCATCCGATGACGTTGGCAGGACAGGTCCACGGTGCCTTCTCGAGCTGAAGATGTGAGTTCAGTCGACGCAGACGCCGAACCAAACCAACAACACACCACCAAAACCCTTCCTGCTGCTTGACGATGGTGCTGCCGGCACCGCCTTTCCTTTGCCCCCATCCCCCCCAGAATTGGCCGCTCGACTCGGATTCTGAGGCGATGCTGGCCACGGCGTCGAGGGCCCCCCCCGACCGCTCAGAATGAACAGTGGGCAACCGACACCAGCCCCCACAACTATGGATTTTACATGTCAGCGTTTTGCACTTACGGCGAATGAGCGTAAGTGTAGGCACCCTGTCGGCGAGACCACTGCCAGCTGCCGCAGGGGGGCCCCGCGCGCGCGGCGACGTCCTGGGCCCGCTCAACGCGGCCGCGCCCGCGCCGGCATTCCCAAGGCGGTGCGTGCCACAGCCGCGGCTCGCAGTTTGAGGCGACGGCGGCGCTGTCCCTCGTGCGGCAGCGCCGCTGGCCCAGCCGAGGGCTCCCGTCTCCGTCGCCCCCTCCTGACCCCGCCGGCGGAAAAGTTTAGATCGGGAGCGGTTCTCTCAAGGCAGCGGGTCCAATATAGTGTTTTTTGGCGTTTATGCAAACACGTTTTTCTGTATATGTAAACTTTTCGGGGCTCTTCCGCGCGAGTCTTTTTGCTTCGGAGAGGTTCCGATTGATTTTATATATCTAGTTTTTTTATAATCTGTTTCGCCTGGTGCCTAAGCTTCGTTTTCGGGGTGGATCTAAGCTTTTCGATGCGCCCGTGCGGGGCGAGCCGCGGGCGCCGCGTGGGTTTCTTGCCAGCGCCGCCCAGGGCCGACGCGCCCGTTGGTTTTTGCCTTGGCACGAGCGCGCGAATGTCCACGATGGCTTCGGACATGGACCGCGTGCCAGCACAAGGAAACGCCAATTTCAAACGCCAATGAGCATGGCAGCAGCGCGCTGTTCGCATTGAGTGTCGCGGCGTTGTCGTTGGCTGACCGTCGAGCAGTTTCCGCTCTCAGGTCGCGCGTCGCTTGACGGCCCCATTGGTCTAAAGTTCCTCATGCGGGGGGCGGGAGGCGTTTTTCATGTGTTCACAGAAGCGGCGGGGGGGGCGAGGAGGAGGAAAAGGGAATGCCCTTTCTGCTTCGCATTCCAGGTGTGGAGTTACTACGGATCCAACCTGCGCTCACTCGTTTCGCTCCCCGGTCCGGTCATCCCCCCGTCCCCCCACAGCGGCCTCGTCCTCTTCGTCGTCCGCGTCCCCGCAGCGCCCGATGGAGTCCTGAGTGTTCCTCCCGGTCCCCCCCCCCGCCCCTCACCCACGCCCCGCCCCCCCCCCATGGGGAATTGGGTTGTGATGTTCCGACAACGCCGGTCGTATGATTTTCTTCAAACTCTCGCACCCTTTCCTCCTTGGCGCAGACTCGCGGCCATCGGTGGCTGGCGCATCGCGGCGTTCGCAGTTTTTTGTTGCGCTCGCTGGCTCCACAGCGTTGCTCGTGGAGACGGAGGACGGGAGACCTAGTAAAGTACAGTGAATTCAGGGTCGACGACGATGACGACGCGAACGATCGAGCTTCGAGACTTTCTATTCTCATTCAAAAAAACCCTACTGGACCTTCAGGGAAGGCTTCTCGCTGCCACTGTGTACTGGGAATATCCTCGAAGCCCTGGTCGCACCGCGTCACCGGAGAGGTCGTTTCTTCAGTAAACGTCCGACAGCAAGCGGCAGGTTTAGCCCCCCCCACGCACACCCTCGGTAGCAAATCGTTGGAGCTTCGTATACCCTGTTAATTCCGTCTTGCGCGTCGACACGCGCCGATTAGCGTCTGAAGTCGATAAAATCGCGCCGATCTCGCATCGGTTAGCGTCGACGAACGTCGATTTAGCGTCGATGTGCCTTTATTTGGCGTCGATTCGCAAGAGCCGATAACATGGTATGGGATACTCCCGCGAGTTGTTTCCGAAGACACCGAACCCGCTCAAACACGACCCCCCCCACGTTCAGCGAACGGCAGAACATCCCATCCCCCACTCGATCCTTTCTCCCCCACTCGCTCTTGCAGTAGTTCGGAATATCCAGGATTAGTTTCCGCCAGGACCCCTTTCCATCATGGCAATGGCAGGGGCAGCATGTTCAGAAATTCTTGGGTGTGGCGAGGTATTCCTGTCGCCTGCGACGATGGCCTGTGGCAGTCTTAGCGTTCGGCTGCCTTCAGGGCCGATCCGTTTCACAGCAGCAAGATGTTTTGTTTAAGGTTAGTTAGGCCACGGACACACTTTTCGCTACCCCTGACTTGGCTACTTTCCCTTTCAATCCCGAATGGGATTGACGTCCAAGTCGCGGGGTTCTCGGTGAGGGTTCCCAGATCGGATTTTAGGGGCATGTTTTTGCATGGCTGAGTCTCACCTCTCTGTGCAGGCCTCTGGTGGAGCCAGGGCGCGGAGCCACCGCTCGAGTGGCTTCGTTTTGGCAGACGGTATGACGGGACGCTTGCAGGGATGTGTGACTTGTTTGATCTCCGTGTGAGTGTGGTTCACCAGAGGAGAAAGAACCACTACCACCAGCTAGGGGAACTGGCCG